GGATGGGGAAACACCTCTTATCAACAGGGTGCCTGAATGAAACGCAATTGTACACCTAACCCTTAACTGTACCCCACAAAACCATAATAAAAAATATTCATAAAAAAAACAAAAAACAAGAAACGAACACATACACCCTCCTCACTCCCCCATCTTCTCTGGCTACCACTGATCTGTCTCCTATTTCTATAATTTTTTCACTTTGAGAGTGTTATATAAATGGAATCATACAGTATGTAGACTTTTGGGACTCAATGTAATTTTCTGAAGGTTCTTTCAGTTTGTTGTGTGTATAAATAATCTGTTTCTTTTTATTGCTGAGTAGTAGCTTGGTATGGATATACCACAGTTTGTTTCACCATTTATCAATTAAAGGATGTCTGGATTGTTTAAAAAAAGGAAAAGAAAAGAAATTTCATTTTCTGGGCCACCTCTCAATTTCCTCTCTCTCTCTCTTTCCACCTTGACAGAGCCTCACTCTGTTACCCAGGCTGGAGTACAGTGGTGTGATTTTGGCTCACTGCAGCCTTGACCTCCTGGGCTCAGGTGTAGTCTGGGCAACAGAGTGAGACTCCAACTCAAAAAAAAGAAAATAATCAGTACTGGCAAAGGTATGGAAAAACTGAAACTCTGTGCATTGCTGATGGAAACGTAAAACAGCACAGCTGCTGTGGAAAATGGTTTGGTGGTTCCTTAAAAAATGAAATATAAGCCGGGCTCGGTGGCTCAGCCTGTAATCCCGCGCCTTTGGGAGGCTGAGATGAGTGGATTGCCTGAGCCTGCGGGTTCGAGACCCGCCTGGGCAGGCGAGACCTCATCTCTACAATAAATCAAAAGTTAGCCGGGCGTGGTAGTGCGCGCCTGTAGTTCCAGCTGCTCGGAAGGCTCGCCAGAGTCCAGCAGGTCGAGGCTGCGGTGGCCAGGAGCAGACACTGCACTCCAGTCTGGGTGACAGAGTGAGACTCCAACTCAAAACAAAACAAAACAAAACATAGTATTATCATATGACCCTCTCCTAGGTATGTACTCAAGAATGTTGAAAACAAGGACTTGAATAAGTATTTGTTCACCAGTGTTCATTGCCACATTATCCACAACCCCCTGAAGGTGATAGCATCCCAAATGTCCATCGACCAATGAATGGATAATCAAAATGTAGTATATCCGTACAGTAGAATATTATTCCTCCATTAGAAGGAATGACATTCTGATCCATGGATGAAACTTGAAAACATTATCCCAAGTCAAATAAGCCAGACACAAGGACAAATATTGTGATTCCCATTGATATGCAGTTTCTAGAAGAGGCAAATTCATAGAGACAGGAAGTAGAATAGGGGTTAGAGTAGCAGCTGGGGGATGGGGAAAGGGGAGTTACTGCTTAATGGACACAGAATCTCTGTTGGGGATGATGAAAAGTTCTGGAAACCATGGTATGGTTAGACAACATTGCGAATGGACTGGACTTCACTGCATTGCACACTTGAAATAGTTAAAATGGTAAGTGTAGCCGGGCTCGGTGGCTCAGCCTGTAATCCCACGCCTTTGGGAGGCTGAGGTGAGTGGATTGCCTGAGCCCGCGGGTTCGAGACCC